AATACAAAAATAAAGCTCTTATTTATTTATTCTATGTATAAACTATATGTTTATTTATATATTAATTTAGGACTATAAATCATTTAATAATTTTTAATTTTTATTTAATCTTAATTATTTTATTAAATATTGTATTATTTAAGAATTATTTAGTTCATGGCTAGAAAAACTGTGCACAACAAATAGGGGTAGGCCAAAGAGAGGCAGGCACAACAGCACAGTAGTTAAAAAAATGGAGGGGGTGACAGAGGCCGGAACACCCTTAATATAAATTCCCTAATTTTAATCCTCTGTATAAAAATATATTACCTTTTTAATAAAAATTGTTTATTTAATCTCTTAAGGTCTTTGACCTTTCCCCCTTGAAAAGAAGTATTTGCATCATAATCTAAGTGAACAGGAGTTTCTGAAATCTAAATTGTAAATGTTAAGTAGTGGCAGCAAATACGTACTCCAAGTAGTTCAATTGAACTGCCTAGAAAATTAGGTATGTTAAAAAATATATAAAAATGATCATTAAAAAATTTTAATTAATTTTTTATATATTACTTGATAACATCTTTAATTATTAAAGATCTGTACAATAAATGTTTTGGTATTGGAATGGGTGGTAAATTAGAGTGGATAAATCTAATTATTTGAACTGGGTGTTTCAATTTCATTCGGCGCCAATTGTTTGAATCCCGATGGACTGTATGGTGTTCACAGAACATTGTGTAATCTTCGTGTAAGGTATAGGCAACACAAAATACATGTACGCACGAATGTTCTGTGAAAAGAAACTTTGAAGAAACCCACCGCATATGCATAAACGTGTGCATACCCGTACTTCAAAGAGTGCCTACTATGTTTTTGGGCCCTATCTAAACAAAACGTTTAGGTATATTTAAAATAAATCATAATGTATAAATATTTCAATGAAAATAACTGTATTTTTTCATTTAATATAGTGGTATATCAGTCCCGATGAACATGTTTTCCTCGGAGCTCGTAATTTTTTCTCAGACACATTGAATTAATAATGATTTGTACTTCTGTAGTCCATCACTGTTTTGCATACACTGACTGCTATAATATCGTAATAAGTTTTCGCTCGAAAATGTAGTTTTATTTATTCCATTACAAAAAAACATCATTTATTTTTCACCAAATACTATAGAATACATTACGTTTACAACTCTTCGGGGATGGTGTCCGGACACGGTTATGTATGTAAAACGGCGCGACAACGCTGTACCCCAGTAGTTATCACAGTGCAGTACACGTAGTACGACACGCGTAACCTTGTAAATACAAATAAATATATTTTTTCCGGTTATTACAATATCGCAGTGGCATATGTAATGATTGGCGAAGCGCTAAAGACTGATTGGCAAAGACATATAGAAATCAAGCGTCCTCGGAGTGTAAAGAAGTGCACGCCCGAAGAAGCTGTGTACATAATAGAGATAAAAACTCACGATAATAATTGTTACTAATTGTTTTAAAGTACAATTACAAAACGACGATTGCGATATTTTCCGAGTGTGACTATACCGTATTAAACTTTTGAATACATTTTTATATCAAATCAACAAATGCGAATAATGAATAAATTTTTTTTTTTTCTACATTAAGTTTTGTAGTGTCCATCATAAGGTATTGTTCACGTATTGCTGTATGGTAATGACTTGTGGATTTTTTTACTGTTACGAGTTGCACTGCGGGTCAACGGCCAAACGCGTGGGTCGCGCACGTTGGACCGAAAATCGGTACGTGCGTCGCACATCGGACCGGCGCCTTCGCTTGTTACGTTGACATTAACTGTGGCGACTCCAGGGCGGTCGATTAGGTCTGTTCCGAGTGTAAATATTTAACGAGACCGTATCGACACAGCGTTAGAATAATAACACGGTCGAGCTCAAAGTAACACGGGTGTAACCTATTATTTTCACTATTATTTTAGTGGTTTGCGCGCGCGTGTTTCTATTGTTCACATCCAATATCGATAATAACTGTGAACGCGGACGAAAAACAATCACTGTCGCCCGTCCGATCGCGTTTTTATCCCTGCACAAAACGTTACACGTAATCGACCGTGAAACGACCGGTTTGTGTTTTTCTTCACCGAAAGCCGATCGTTGGCCGACTTGACGATTGTTTTCTATTTCGTCCGTTCGTATAAACATACGTTTATGGAGTCAAGATTTAAAGAATAGATCCCTCTTTGAGTTTTTTTTCACAATAATCGTAATTTTGTCTTTTACAAATGTTTAAAACTCTAAAAAAAAAATTTGACAGAAGAAAATATCTATTCTATCTTTATTGTTTAATTATTTTATTTTTTAAACATTTTTATATCTAACTACGTTATAGATAGAAGTATACGAATTTTGTTCCTAGTTGAGAGATTCTAAATTCTTTACTACCGCGTATCGATCGTTTTCTAAAATTGCACTGTAACAAGACCGATGTTTCTACGTGTCAATTAACTCAATACTAACCGATTTCAAAAGCTGCAGATTTTTTTTATACGCACCAAGGATGTTTATTTGTTGTGATCCAAATCATGTGTTAAACAACACATACGTTTTCTGTCACACAGTTTTTGTACAAGTTGGATTTAGATAACAAACTTCAAGTCATTGTGCATTAAATTAAGGTATTGAAGACACGTTGTCTTTAGTTTTCTATTTTAGAAGCCAATTCACGATCCCTCTCATAATATTAATAACTATCGTTTTATCGGTGGTAACACTTTTGCGGCTCCTTAGTCAATAAAAAAAACTAACAATATCTTTTATGCTGTCCGTCACGTGAAACGTGATTCCACTGAGATGTGTGATACCGTCATATTCTACTCATAAAATATCCTGTGATCTCTACCCGACAACGATCACTGTATTGTTTCCTGGGAGAGCGGTTAAGACACCTACCGGGGGGCTGGACTTACGTCCTGAACACGACATCGGTACGTATGAACTGGGACTATGGCTTGACATTTGCAAGTTGGTATAGCAAACTTTCGGCCAAAATCTCAGCCCTTGTAACGGCGAGACCGTTGTGCAACATCCTTTTAGTTAATGGTACACCGTTGTCCTTCTCATTTCCGTAAGATGAACGAATATTATGCACTATAAATGATTGTTGACGTTTTTATTTACTCGGTATCCTATCCCAATGAGCGGTTCGGTAAGTTGGGTTTTAGTTGAGCGGCAACTGGCGAGTACTATAACACGCTGTATATGAGAAGTTTCTGAGCACGCAGTGTATATGATGTGTGCGACTGAGTCGTATCTCGAACCAGTAGGTTAGTGTTAATGGACGGCGCGAGATAAAACAGACCGTCTGCTACTTTCGAGCAGATACAAATTTAAAACAAACTTACGTATTTTCGGCGGCCGTGTATATGTATGTGTAAACCACAATAATTGTCTTTGTGTGGAGGATTTCGGGCGGATCTAGCCAAAGTCGATATCAGCCTAAGAACGTACTTATAATTGAGTAGTTAAAACAAAGTACGCAAAAAAACTGGTAACTATTAATGGAGATATGTGTGAAAGAATCGAGAGCAAATTTTACTATCGCGACATGGTATACTGTTTATACTCGTAACTAAATCGTATGGTTGTGAAACGTGGACGATAATGAAATACGATAAAAATTAACTAGAGGCAGTTAAGATATGGATATAGAGGGGAATTTTAGGAATAAGTTGGATGGAACATACGACGAATGAAGTAGTGTTGGACGTGATAAACGAGAGAAGAACGCAATTTGATGGACGCAATAATGAAAAAATATATATATAAAGCTAATTGCACATATCTGCTATGATACAACAAGTTTATCATCATCATCACGGAAGGGGAAATAATAGATAAATTAACTGAAGGAAGACCGCGTAAATCCTTATTCGAAAAAATCTTCCGTTGGTTGGGTTTTACCTCGGTGTGTGGCAGACACAAATGGCTACAACTACAAGGTTTGGCCTTTAGAAGCTGATGATGAACACACCCTTTGTGTTTTCAATTTTTAGATTGAATAATCACCAGTAAAACGATAAACGAGACACAATACGACGGTACTAATGTCGCTTTTTCGAAATATTAACGTGTATGACGGCGAATTGTATAGGCAATTCCCAGGTGAATTGTATTTAGCAACACATTCTCATTATCGTTAAGCAACGGTTCGAGCAAATTGGAAGACGTTACTGGATAAATTTAAAAAATTTAAAACCTAGTTGTTATTCTATCAACACCTAGAGCTTACGGTTCTTGAGAGAATCTCTGTTGCGTTTTTATGAATAAAAAATTTACAAGTATATGAATTATATTTATAATATGGCGTTTATAAACAATTATTATATTATTAACTAGCCGATTTACCCTGTTTCGTCCGAATTAGTTTTTAATTATTTTTGATTATCGTTTTTATTTTAACCGTACACGAACCGCCTAACGTGTTATGTATTATACTACATAATAGTGAAAAAACTGTAACAAATGTTCATCTTATTCGGTAAACATTCTAACAATTTTTCTTTCATACAAACCTTGTCCAGAAAATTGCGATTACAACAACGGCCACAAATCAATCAAATCGATCAAGCCGTTCACTAGTGATGATTCTTTTGCATACATAAAATAATTTATTTTTATATATGAATAAAGTTGTGCCATTTAGTATAGAACATTACCTTGTATATATAACAAATATATGCCATTGAAAAATCAAAAAAAAAATCGTTATAAATTAACATAATTTATGTAAAAATAAATATATTACGGTTGAAAAAAAAATTTAAAAAAAATAACAACTTACTATACAACATTCGTTAACATTTTGAAAAAAAAATCAAAAACATAGATTTGTATAATAATAATTTTGGTGCATAAAATACAAAAACGAAATTTACAAAAAAAAAAATTAACAAATTCAATAGTTAATAAAAATAACGATTTAATCATAATCAAAAACATAAATATGAAAAATAATAATGACGTGTAGAAAACACAAAAACAAAATAAAAAGTCAAATAGTTTTGAAATGTACCATGAAATGTACAAATGTAAAACAGCTTATAAAAATATAAAACTGTTTATAGGTATCCCTAAGGTTTTATTCGGCGATAAGGTACAAAATTATATATTTTAGTAGACGTTGTTTCCCTCGAATTGTCATCGTTTATAATTAAACTACAAATTGGTTCAGTTGCTCTTCGCTAAAATTTTAATAATACTAAATAACCTCGAGCTTGATTTTTAATGCTTTACACAGCTTTTCAATTTCGACTTGTACTTGTAGCGTCGCGTTAGGCTTCTTGTACAACTCGAACAGACAGTTTATTATAGAAGTTGTCCACGGACTGTTCGGGCCGAAGTTTCCCCCCGAGCAAGATTCAAGTATATTCGTCACCAACTGCACGACGAACAGTAGCTCGTCGCCACCTTTCTCGCACGCTTCATTCAACAAGTGTTCCAAAGCAATATCGTCCTTCGATATCGGTTTATTTTGCGCCAAAGTGATCATTCCCAACCAGTGGCCCAGATTTTTGATCAGTAATTTATCCGCCATACTTGGAATGCCTACATTTCTTCCCAACAGAACCTGAAACCATAATATTTACATTCTCTGTCAATACAATTACAACATAATTGAAGTAGTTTATTAAAGTGATTTGATTATTATTACGATATGCTGTTCAGAATACATTGCGGAATATAAATAGTAGATTCATTTTTATATATACTATATCGTAACGCGCTAAAAAACTAATGACCCATCCACCAATAATAACTGTTCGCTTGTATTTTTCCAACACGATCAGTTAACGTTTAAATAGGATTGAAGAAGAAACGTGTATTATCAAATTTTTACCTAATTTTTTCATCCTAAAAAAATGCAACTCTTTAAAATCTACACAAATTTTCAGTGCCTCGAACAAATACAAAAATTCATAATATTCATATTATAGGGTATCTGTTTTTTTTATTCAAATTAATTGCGATTGTATTTTATAAAGATTATTTTAGTTGAGATTCTTTTTATCTTCGACTGAATAGATTGTTGATATAATATCTTTATCTAGAGAAAAATAAAATATTCCCGGCTCAAAACTGTTATTCACCTTAATTGTATTGATGGTGTCCGACAATACCATCGAATTCAGCGTTTTGCTGTTCAAACAATTCAACATGCTTGAGTACAGAACATGAAAGTTGAACTCCTGTCGCACCCGTTTCAAGACAATGTACTTGGATAACCACGGCAAGTGTTCTTTGGCGATCAGACGCTTTATGTCACTGCACTGTAACAGAATCATAAAACACAGAAGGTTAATAAAATAAGCTGTTGACAGGATTGTTTCACTAACGCTGCATGCAACGTTTGATCGTAATACGAATTAATGGAAAAAATTAAAAGAAAAAAAATCAAAATGAAAATATCAATTGCATTGGCATAATCAATGTATTCGTATGTATTCGTATGGATTCTTACCTTGGTTTCGAGATTCGTTTTACACAAGCTGTTGATAACATAACGAATTTCGTCTTGTACAGTTTTAGACGGTACGATTATCTCGTCATCGACAACCGTCGCGGCGATCGCTGGAGGTTCCGATTTTGGCAACGCATCGGCCACCGCGGCGATCACCGGATCAGGTTTTGGCATTTGCTGGCAGATAATCGCGTCTTGGGACCGCGATTCGCTTTCCTCCTCGCCGTTATCGGTTTCCGATATCGTTTGCTCGTCGATGGCTCGTCGTCTAGTTGGCGGTGCAAGTTCGACCAAATCGTGCACCACGTCCTGCGCATAACAGAAAAAATGATTAGAACCAGTGGTGTAGATGCAATTTTTTTTTTGGGGAAGTGGGTATTTAAGAGTACATTTATTATATTCTTAGTATATCTTAATCTGACGTTCTATATAATATTATTACATTTAAAATTGTATTATTATTATGCCCCGTTTTTATGAAAATTATTTTGTTACTTAATTTTTAAAGTATACTTAATCAGAGTAAAATTAAAATATAATTTTACTATAATAATTAAATATCATAAAAAAAAAAATCTGGAGGCGTGGAAACTCCTTACACCCCCGCCCTCCCTAAACTACTCCATTTTTTAGAACCAATATCTAAATGGTGTTTCGAACGAAAACGTTTATGCGTTTCGTTAGTTTTTTACACAAATATCTTTGTTTGCATTCCAACGGTACCATCGGACGTATACGAACTGTATTAAACAAAGCATTATATATCAAGTAGCAGTGTTGGGGTTTGATTTAAAGAAAAAGTTCAATAATTAATTAATTTAAATCGAACAAATCCGAATGATGAATTGATTAATATAGTTTAAAGTCTAATCAACGTCCACTATTCATCTATTTTTGATTTATTATATTGTTATTTAATTATTAAGATTTAATAAGTAATTAGTATTGTATTACGTTCTTTTTCAAAATTTCAAACTTACCTCAATAATGTCCGGTAGAAAATCATCGACTTTATCAGTTTTTTCAAGGCGGACACACAGTTTCGAAAAATTTTTCAATTTCGTTTTAAACCGATCAAATGCCATATAACTGAAATTGAATGCATTAGCATTTTGCGTATTCTTCAGATCATATAATATGTAAGTAATGATTGTTTTCAATGTATTTTTATCACTAAAAAATAAAATAAAAAAAAAAAACATTTTTGTTAGTTTTTATTTATATCGATAGAATTTGATTTTTAAGCTTATGCAAATTAAATAACTTATAAAAGGCTACTTACGATATAAATCCATACTTTAGAAATCCACCTACAAAATTAGCCATTTTGAAAATATTTTGATCTGAGTATGATGAGAATAAATGGAAATCTTTTATCAAACGTTTCATCATGCTACAGATAATTTCCTACGCGAATAAAAATACATTGAATTAGAAAAAAGAATATCGTTATAACGACTCTAATTTATTTATTATGACAATTTTAACAGTATGATATCAGGCTGATTTAACAGTTGCATTCAATGATGTTGTCATTTTATTTTTCATGTAGCGTAAAAAAAGCATCATTCACTTCCATAGGCGCAACTAAAAGGGCACAATAGGGTTTTTAGCACCACTGAGTTCAATGTAGCACACCTGTTTTTGTTTTCAGATCTATATAATCTATTACAGTTAAACACCATTTAATTTAAATTTCAGCAATTCCAGCACCCCCAATATTTGGGATCTAAATGCACCCATGTTCACTTCTTTATTGTTGTAACTATTTCAATTTATGGCTTAAAATTCTCATCAAATACAAATATAGCAAATGAACTATGTTATTTATATATCTAAATATATAAAAATCTCGTGTCCATAGTGTTTGTGACTAATTTTGTATATACATTTGGTAGGTCTGCAAATAGGTTTTAATCTATTTTTTATACTCCTAAGTACTATTGTTTAATAAATCGTAGTTTAATTTAATCATTTTTGACCCGATCAATAACTGCACAACAGAAAATGAATTATTAAATGATACTATTAAAAACTATTTAAAAACTATTAATTTTATTTTTGGTATTAAATGACGGGTATTGCATAAATATTAAACAACAAGATCCCGCAAGAATTTAAGTTCGAAGGATTATTATGCATATCGGTACATTAGATAATGGAGATAGGAAAGTTACTACAGATGAAACAGGATGTATAAAATTACCGACCGATTTCTGCACATCATTTATTCGCAAGATGCTCTCATTGACCAGATATTTCCCAATGTACACAGACAATGAACAAATCATGTGTGGCTGGAAGAAAGAGCAATTTTAGCAGCAAAAAATGTGGGCATCAATAAATTGAATCTCAAGATACAACATTTATTACCAGGAGACTTGGTGTCATACAAATCTATTGATACAGTTTGCGATGCTACTGAAGCTGTAAATTATCCAACAGAATTTTAAAACTCATTGGATTTACCATATATGAATAATTTACAACTGAAGGTTGGATCTCCGATTATTTTGCTTCGTAATTTGAACCCCCCACGATTGTAAAACGGCACGCGATTAGTCATAAAAAAATTAATGAAAAAAATGTTATCGAAGCCATCATTTTAAATGGCAAATTCCGAGGTATATATATATATTATTACCACAAATCCCTATTAAATCCACAGATGCGATAATACAATTTAAACGCCTTCAATTTCCAATTAGATTGACATTTGCAATGACTATCAATAAGTTTCAAGACCAAACGATGTATGTTTGTGGCTTAGATTTGAGCATATCATGTTTTTCACACGGACAATTATACGTAACGTGCTCTCGAACCATCCAGTTTGTTTGTGTTGGCAAAAGATGGGATAGAAAAAAATATTGTACACTCTGTTGCGTTAAGAGATTGTTATGTTTTTTTTACTAATATTGTCATAATTAGTGATATATATATATAATTTTAAAGGATTAATTTTAATAAATTATTAAAAAAATAAAAGTTTGATGATTTTTCATTTTTATATTTCATTACTGTTCACAACACTTCATACCTCTTCCACTTATATACCATATCCTTACACACCTTTACTAAATGTATTATTTTTTTCCAGCAAAATATTGTCTAGAAATAATTTATATGTCAAAACAACGTTTGTCGGGCCAGCTGGTATATATATATGTGGATATACAGTTGCGTATTTACGTGTTCTGTGAGTTAAAATATCCCCCAATATTTCTAAAACAAATAGCAATGCTATGGAAGCTTTGTCTACATGTAATCTCGAAATATATCCAAACATATTTAAATAATTAATCATTTTCACCACACTCCCAGTTGCACAGAGTTAAAGATTATTTTCATTGTTACAAAGGATAAAGATTTATTTACGTAATACTATTGACAAATTATGTATATTTTTTATACTACTAAGATTATATTATACTAATTATTATCAAGTCTTGGTAAACAATTTAGTATCATAATTATTATAAAATGTAATTAATTTATAATTGTTCTGTGTAGAAAACAATTAATAGGTCAGCCATGCTTTCAATCAATCGAAAGGTTCATATTTAAAGTAATCAAGTATTGGACTAATTGGCATTAAAAAAGTTGTGTTCCTTTAACACTGTAAAATTAACTAATAAATCTATACAAAATTTAATCAATTTATTTACAAAATTTCCAGCCGATCTGAAATTATTTAATGTTCTATTCATTTTTAAATACGAACTGCACACAATTTTAGTCCATGTAATAGGTAGTTGATTATAAATTATAAAAATTTTTACAAATGTATATCCTTAAAAATATTTTAGGCAATTATTATTGGGGAGCAAAGCTGACTATACAACTTTGTGATTAAACTATGATAATATTTTTGGGGAAAAAAGTATTGTCTAGACGCCCCTCCCCCCCAAACAAACTCCAAAATATGCCACTGTAGCTATAAATATTCTTATGCGTAATATTAAATAATAACAAATTCTTACAGTTTCAAAAACTGAAAAGGTTTTTAAAGAATTTTCTTACACTTAAATATGAGAGTACTAGTACAAAAAATAGAAATTATTAAAATTTTAATCAATAATTAACTTTCAAAAATACTTTTAAAGTATAGCAGTTGGTAAGGAGTAGGAGATCAAAATGAAGCCACATCATCAAAATCTAACCTAAGGTTGACTTTTGATAAAATTTATTTTCAACATTTAAAGCATCCCTTAACTGAACAATAATGCAATCATAAAGAATTATTTATATTTTAATACATATTTTATATTTAGTTTAATTTTATTATGTATGATACTAAAAAATTAATATTTATTTTTATTGACACATTTTAGTTATTTTAATTTTTCTCATTAACTTGTAGAGAAAAATCAGAAGTTTAATTAATTTTATCATAATATTTATATTACGTATATTTTTTTTTCATCAAAATTAGCATTCAATTTAATGAAATGTTAACAATTTGATAAATTATATACAACCCAAATATTTTCTAATTAATTTTCAAATTCATACCTATATAAATTATTTTAAAATTTTACAATGTTATTTTCACAATTTAAACAATTTCAAAAGCATTTTATGTTTTTCTAGGACTTATGCATTAAAATGTATTTTTAACATGCAAGAATTTTTCTTTTAAAATATTAACCCTTAACTGGTATCGTATATATCACTTTTTCATCGTACCCATCAATTGTATTTTAGCTCACGGCTTTGGACTATTTGTTTTTTGTTATCAATCCTAATAACACAATTTTCATGTCATGAAAGCTATTAAAAACTGTTGCGGGTCATTTATGACTCAAGAATACCTGTTACGTATATTTTTTTTATCTCTTGTCATCACATAATTATTATATTGAAATAGATATTTTCAGGCTTTGCTTCAAATTAATTTTAGCTTAGGAAATGGGTGATGATTACAATGTTAAATTGAATGTAATAATATTATTTTTATATTCAAAAATTAATTTATATTTATAGATTATAGTACAGCACTCGTCTTTCCAATTAGTGATTAGTCGAGTTGACTTAATATAGAGAATGAGTGATTAAAATAATGAGTGATTAATGAGTGATTTAAATGTTATAAATTGGTTATAAGAAGTAGATGGTGATAATTTGAGTGTTCTAAATAGGCTAAAATTTTAAACTTACATTTTTTTAATAATTTTACGAATTAAAATATGCCTTGAGATGAATAAAATAATGTTTGTAATTTATTAGAAATAAATAATTTATGACCTTGATTTTATTTTATTTTTTAGACTTATTATCTAAGCTAAAAAAAAACCTTGGAATACTTCGAACCTGAATGTATATGATTATAAAATAAAAATGACTAAAAAAAATTTTAAATATCCATGTAAAATTGTATTGTTATAAAAAAATTGAATTAAAAATAATATTTGATAAAAATAACTATGTCATTAGGGAAGAAAATGATCATTTGATTACTAATAATATGATTTTAAAAAATAGAGTATTGAAAAAATGAAAATTTTTAATGTTATAAGCAATGAAAATATTGGGTCATATATGACTCCATGATACCAGTTACGTAAGTGCAAATAAAGATAACTGTTAAGGGTTAAAATGAATCAACATTATAGCTTTTATTACTAATCACTTTTAATTACCTTATGATGAGGTGCTGGAGAAACATGGAACCGTTTAAAAATATTTAGCACATCATCGCTGGCTGGATCCCTAAAAATTCGTTGGATATAATTATTGATACGTTGGTCAACTGTGTTGAGTACCATAATAAATGTATACGTATGGTCTCAAAATAAAATAAAACAATTTTAAATAGAGTATTAATTATAAGAATCGTATTCAATATAAATAATGCCTATAATGTGAGTAAATTGTTAGGGTAGTAAAGACTTCAAAAATGTCAGGAGACGGTTAAATGGTCCGCGTCAAAACAGAAAGTGTGCTCGAAAAATGTACTCTTTCGTAGACTTCGAATCGTTTCCTTGGTGAAATAATAATCATATAGTGTAGCTTTCCGTTAAGCCAACATATTAATTACAATAAAAATTTAAATAATGTAATAACACAAAACGTGTTATCAGTTTTATTTTTAATAAATCGAAGTTTAATTTAATAATTTTTGATCGGGTCGATATTTATGTAATTGAAAATGAACTATTAAAAAACTATTAAAAACTATTTAAAAACTATTAATTTTATTTTTGGTATTAAATGACGGGTATTGTGTGAAACAAGGTAAAGCGAGGTACCACTTGGTATGACCAAGAACCAAAAAATTAATTAAATTTGTAACATACACCTGAAGTTTACCGTATAGGCAATCTAACGTGCCGTTACCTGACGGATATAGAATAGGCAACTTAATATGCACAACGACGACGACGAGGATGGGAGACAGTGACTTAAACTTAACACGGGAATGGGGATATTGAGTTTAGTTATAAGGGGGCAAGTCTCTGTGGTCGGATCGGTATGATGCAATGACCACAGAGCTCACACAAAATCGGAAAAATCTCAATCACTCAAATCACAACTTAAAATACGTGACGATTATGGTAACTGCAATGGTAACTGGTAACTCTCGAAGACCGTGGCGGCCTCACACACCACCCAGTGGCTGGCGGACTTACGCAGAGGTGAAGGCGTACACTACCGAAGTGTTTCGACGATGACCAAAATATTGACTGGTCTCACACAGTGGAGACACGACGAAGAAGACAAAACAAAAGGTGACACGTACTAATAAAATTTAAATAACTCACGCAACGCAGATCTGGTTATGGTAATGTTTTGATTTATTTATTATAATTTTTCACTAATAATAATAATAATAATACTAATAAACGTCCGCATTAATTGCGGGAGGCGCGGCGATAAAAGTTCGCGACAACGAAGATTTAGTAGGTATATAAAAAGAGGTGTTGCCTAAATGGCGTACGACAAATGAAATAATAAAAAAACTATATATGTTTTGTGTCCTTAATAAACGACAAAAAGATCGACAAAAAAACAATGTGTTGCCTTAGTGGCGAACAGCGAACAACAGACAGAAGAAAAAATAGTAATAAATATAAAATACGTAATATAATAAAGGGCGTTGGCCGTTATGTAATAAGTAGAATAATTCACTAATCTGCATAATTAATTAACAAAGATAATACAAAATTAACGAGAGATAATAATAATAAATAAATAAGACAATAATCAACGAACACATACTAATTAAAATTCACACAGACGGAAGATTAGGAAGGTGGACACAGATAAGGACAGGTCGACGCCATCGTGGTTGCAATTATGATAATAATAATAATAAGAAGAAGAAGACTACGTGTATAGCGCATAAACAAGTATTGCATAAATATTAAGCAACAAGATCCCGCAAGAATTTAAGTTCGAAGGATTATTATGCATATCGGTACATTAGATAATGGAGATAGGAAAGTTACTACAGATGAAACAGGATGTATAAAATTACCGACCGATTTCTGCACATCATTTATTCGCAAGATGCTCTCATTGACCAGATATTTCCCAATGTACACAGACAATGAACAAATCATGTGTGGCTGGAAGAAAGAGCAATTTTAGCAGCAAAAAATGTGGGCATCAATAAATTGAATCTCAAGATACAACATTTATTACCAGGAGACTTGGTTTCATACAAATCTATTGATACAGTTTGTGATGCTGCTGAAAATGTAAATTATCCAACAGAATTTTAAAACTCATTGGATTTACCATATATGAATAATTTACAACTGAAGGTTGGATCTCCGATTATTTTGCTTCGTAATTTGAACCCCCCACGATTGTGCAACGGCACGCGATTAGTCATAAAAAAATTAATGAAAAAAATGTTATCGAAGCCATCATTTTAAATGGCAAATTCCGAGGTATATATATATATTATTATCACAAATCCCTATTAAATCCACAGATGCGATAATACAATTTAAACGCCTTCAATTTCCAATTAGATTGACATTTGCAATGACTATCAATAAGTTTCAAGACCAAACGATGTATGTTTGTGGCTTAGATTTGAGCATATCATGTTTTTCACACGGACAATTATACGTAACGTGCTCTCGAACCATCCAGTTTGTTTGTGTTGGCGAAAGATGGGATAGAAAAAAATATTGTACACTCTGTTGCGTTAAGAGATTGTTATGTTTTTTTTACTAATATTGTCATAATTAGTGATATATATATATAATTTTAAAGGATTAATTTTAATAAATTATTAAAAAAATAAAAGTTTGATGATTTTTCATTTTT